ATAATCAACTACATTGTATATTGACAAAATAAAAATAATAAAAATAAATAAATAAATAAATTTACGAATTTGGTACTGAATGCTACACATGAGGTCTTTACTTCAAAAAGGAAAAATAAGGAAAACAAAGGAAAAAAGTAATTGACGGGGCTCTGACTAATAGATGGTGGAAAGAAGTTAGACTTCTTTTGTTTCTCTTTCTGTCTTTCTTTTGTTCTTTCTTTATTTTGTAATTCATCCATTCAGAATCCATTTACGTCACACCTGTATGTGCCAGGCACAGTGCAGGGCATCTGGAATACAGTGATGAGTGATATAGTGTTACAACTATTGAAATAAATCAGTATCTGTTGCCCAAATGTGTCAGGTTCTCTCTAGCTTAGCATTCTCTCTATTCTCCACACACACCTGATTAACTTCCGCACCTTTTTCGAGGCTCAACTTGGATACCTTTCCTTATCTCATCCCCCCAAGTTGGGCTTTGGATCTCCCCTTAGACACTCACAGACCCCAACACTGCACATTACAGTGATTTTGTTTTCCACATCCTGCTATAGACTAAATATTTTGAAGGGGTCAAGGACCATGTATTGGATTGGACCCAGCATTGGATCGCCAGTGCTTTGCATAAAATGTGGGGTCACTATTTTTAAAAAAGAATGGATAAAAGAATACATAAAATGAATAAATTGATCACTTCCTAAATAATATCACAGTTTAATGAGTTACTCAGCACTTAAGAATAAAGAGCATGAAGTGGTGTCACCTAACCCATGGTAGGGAGCAGAGCCAAGGAATTTTTATCAGAGGAGATGGCACCCAAATAGAGACTAGAAATATAAAAAAGAGGCAGTTAATGTGTGCCTGTGTGTGTGTGTGTGCTGTGTGATGGCATTCCCCTGAACCTAAATGTACTTCTCTCTCTTTGTCACATACTTAATTCCACATCACCAGCTTTCAAGATTTACCTATTAAAATCTCAGTTATTCTGACTATGAAGCATTCTCTGAGAACACCAATTCTAGTCATTTTAGATTGGGATCCCTCAGAAACAGACCCTGGGACAAATTCCCGGGAATCAGTTCCAGGAAACAACAGCAAAGGAGTAAAGAAGTGAGACAAGAAAAGGACAGCAGCCCACAAAAGGTGCAATATCAAGCAAGTCACCACTGTGGGTAATTGGAGCTTAATCCCACTGAGGAACTCTAGGATTCAGCGTAGAGCACTCGCTTCCGGAGCTATCCCACCTGAGGGCAAGGGAGCTGAGGTATTTATCCACCGATTCTCATCAGTCATCAGTTGAGAGCTGATGGGAGTGGTATTAGTTCCTCAGTCCTTCCTGCCATTTGAGGGTTCTGGTGGCCTTAGGAAGCCCTCAGGCAATGAAATACAAATACCATTTTGTCTTTGTGTGTGCACACAAGCCAGATGAATGCTTTTAAATAAACAGCAAACTCATGAGAAAACAATTTACTGATTGCATATTTAGTGACTTACTTCATCTCCCACCATTTTTTCATCCACTGCTCTTTGGGAATTTCACCCTTGAAGACCATCCACCTCCACTTCTCTAACATGTAAGTAAATGGTAGAGTTCCAACAATCGTGAGTGCTTGTTTGAGTAGGAAGTTTATTTCTGTTTCTGCAAGTAAAATGGAAAAGGATAAATATTAAGATAAGGATGACAGTGGATGTTTTGTGTTAAAGAGAGTTTTCCTAACCTCCAAATATTATTCCTCAAAATATACTTACTATAAGGATGACTATGTGAGAAATATTGACAGTGGACTTAATAATTAGTATATATTCATTTTCTCAGCTAAGGGATTTGGAGTAGGACGAAGTGCTGGAACAAGATAGGTAGATAAATATCCACAAGCTACCCCTAGTCTTCATTTTTTTAAGTTAGTTTTAATTGCCTTCCTTAAATGCCTCTTATCAGAGTTAATTAGGGGTTACCATTAACTCCCTTTCCTTTGTTGCTCTCTTCACAGGAGGATGCCACTACTGGTCTATAGTCCACTGAGTCTGTCCTCATGATATAACTATTTCAGACATGATGATAGGTTTACACTGGCCTACTCCCAGGTCCTTGTAAGATCATTGAGGGTCTGGAGCCAATGATCAAACAAGGTGAATTGCCCACAAGAGAATGGAGCTCATGACCTTGACCATATTGACCAAACGCTCCAGCAAGTGGAGCTGATCTTTTTTGCCACAAATAGCTAAAATGAGGGGTTCAGTTATCTCTCTTATTCCCTTTCATAAATACAAAATCACAAGTTGACATGTTCTGAGATACAGTTAATTTTTTTTACCAGTAGCAATTTATTCCCAATTACCCAAAAATACTTTACATCTTATGTAGCGAAAAAATATTTCCTATGTGTGATAACAGTTTTGCCCATATCAGACTAAAGAATCCCCAAAACAAGCCATAAATATATCCATACCATTGTCTTCATGAAAATCAGGTGGCAGAAGACCAATGGATTTCAAATGCTTCGGTGTAGCTGCAGAAAGTGACATGATTTCCCCAACAGCTTCATGGAACCCTTCATTAGCTCCATCTCTTAGCAGAAAAGGTTGTGTGGCATATGCCATGTAATATTGGATATGTCCCATTTCATGATGGGCTGTCAGGAAGTCGTCCATTGTCACCGTTGTGCACATTTTAATTCTGCATAAAAATGGGCAAGATTACAATGAATCTCACTGAATTTCATGTAATCATTGCAGTAGAGTTATATGGGGTTTGGGTAGCATGAATTATCTTTCCAAGATTTATTCAGCAATGAATCTTGGGTATCTACCTCTTATGTCCTAGAAACTACACTAGTTGCTCAATATAAAGAGATGGCCAGGGCTATGTCTTGTTGTCTTGCTCAGAAACTAATAGGAAGAAAGATAAACAGAGTCTTCTACTACAAAAACTCTGAGGCAAATACTATATAAGTGATCAGTAGATATGGCCTTGAGTGTAACAGTGAGTGAATGCAGGCACAGTCTCCTAGAAACACCATAAAGGGAATAACTGAGGATGCAATGAACAGTCTGGACCTTGATCAACGTACAGGAAGTTGCCAGGTAGGTGGCAGGGAGGTTGACATTCCTAGAAGTGCTCAATGAGAAAAGCTTGAGAAAAGAATGTGGCACTCATGACACTGTGATCAGTTTGGTATAGCCAAGATAGAGAAATAGTAGAAGGAGGTGGAAATTGAGACTTGGGAATCATAAGTTTGTAAGCCAAAAAGTGGATGTAGTGGCTCACGAAGTAGGAATAGAATGGCAAAAAAAAAAGAGGGCCAAAGACAAAGTTTTAGGAGGCCCCAGTACATAAGGGGTGGAGAAAAAAGATGATTCAGGGGAGATAGAGAAAGTGCAATCAGAGAGGTCAAAGAAGTCTGGAAGATGATGGCAATGCCAAAGTCAATGAAAAACAACATTTGAAAGACAACTTGTAAATGTTGTCTGATGCTGTTGTAGCCCAATGGGATAAGGACTGCATTTGACAATTAGGTGGTGGTCCTTTTCAACTTGACCAGAGCATGTTCATTTGGTGGCTGTAGGGGTCATATTTCAATAGATTCACAAATTAATTTTCTTACCACTCTGATTGTGTCACCCCCCATAAATATCCTTTAAGGACTTCTCACTGCTCAATAATAAACTCAGCCTCTTTATACACTCCAGTATGACTCCAACCTGCTTTTCTAACTTGGTTTCTCTCTATCCTATTTTGGAACAACTATAAGAATAGCTGCTCTATATTTACTGTCTACTATAAGTAAGATTCTGTGTTAGGAAACTTACATATTCTTTCTCATTTTTAAGCCTCACTCTAGTACTGGGGTCAATAAACTATGGCCTGCTGACCGGCCACCTGTTTTAAAAAATAAAATTTTATTGGAACACAGCCATGCCCACTTGTTTATGTATTGTCTATGGCTGCTTTCATGCTACAAGGGCAGAGCTGAGTAGTTGCAACAGAGGCCTGCAAACCTAAATTATCTACTTTCTGGCCCTTTACAGAAAAGGATTGCCAGTCCTTACTCTAGTGGATGCTGGTGGGGCCTTAACCAGATTTCCTTTACCAGGCAGATCTACCTGTTCCCCAGCTGCCTGAGTCATAGCTCTCATAAGAGCCAACAGCTGCTTCCTTCACTGCCTTTGGCCAAATGGGAGGTGCCTCAACCAAAAGGTTATGTCCCCCCACACTCTGGGGCAGTTCACAGCCAATAAATGACCGAACTAGGGGTACAACAGGCCAGTTCCCTTGTCTTGAGGTGTGACCAACTCTGTGGTTCAAATCATGCCCCAGAGAGTTTCATGGGAACAGGCTGAGGCCAAGTCTCTAGCAGAGATCATGTCCTTACCTCCTTCTCCTGTCCCATCCTGCTTCCCTCACCTCCCTTTGCCTGAAAGCTCTCCCTCAAGGAAGCACTTGTACTAGAATCTCCACGTCAGGCTGGGAAAGCCAACCCAAGATGCTCACAAACCTATGACCTAGGAATTACTATTCTACTTTATAGATAAAGAATCAGAAACCTAAGAAGGCCAAATATCTTGTCTAAGATTGCCTACTCATTAAGTGACACACTTAGCATTTCCAAGCCTCTGTTCCCAATTCCTGCCTCTCTGCATTTGATCCTGCTGTTCTCCCAGCCTGGTGTTCTCCTCGCAGCTGTCTGTCCAAATCTCTCTCTCATCTTGCAAGTCCTATTCAAATGCCAACCACAAAGCCCTGTCTGAGCCTACCTCCTATTCCAGGTATGATCAGTTCTCTTCCAATTCCCGGTAGAGCATTTCCCGAGTCTCTCTTATGACACAAACCACTTTCTCCATTTTATCCCAACTTATTTATTTGCCTATCCTGTCTCACTCACCAAAGTGAAACATGAAGGTGAAGATCAATGCCTGATTCACATGTCCACCTCCCATAAATCTTAGCACCAAACCTTTTCTAATGTGGGCACCACCATCCCTGTGACCATGCAACTCTAATGGGTGCATAATATTTCAAGTGAGGCAGATTGTCTAAAGGTTCAAGTTGGGGCCTGCTGGCAATCCTCTTTTCCTGGAAAAGCCCAAATGTGCTCTCATGCACTCCCAGCCTTAGTTCAAGGAGAGTTAACTCATCTCTTCTGTGCTCAGAGAAGAAGAATAGGAATGCAAGCTCAACATCACCCTGCCTCCATTGTCTCTCATTTAGTGTCAGTCCCCCTACCTGAAGTCTCCCTTCCCCAGGTCCCAGGCTGTGGGGTGGCAGACCACTTTCCGGCCATCTTCTGGATTAGTTAGCATGGAGTTTTCCCAGAATCCTTGAGTCATATTAAAAAGGCCAACAGACACAAAGAACTTCTCAGCCTCCTTGAATATCCTCTCTGCATCCCAGGACTGGAAAAAAAGAACAGTATTTAATTCCAACATTAAAATAACAACATTCTTAAGTGAAATAAGCCAGGCACAGAAAGACACATTCCACATGTTTTCACTTATATGTGGAATCTAAAAAGTTGTTCCCATAGAAGTAGAGAGTAAAATAGTGGTTACCAGAGGATGGGGGGTGGGGGCAATGGGGAGATGTTGGTCAAAGGGTACAAAGTATCAGTTAGACAGGAGGAATAAGTTTTTTTTGAGATCTATTATACTGCATTGTGAATATAGTTAATAATGATGTACTGTACATTTCAAAATTACCAAGAGAGTAAATTTCAAATGTTCCCACCACAAAAAAATAAGTATGTGAGGTGACAGATATGTTAATTAGCTTGCTTTAATTATTCCACACTGTGTTTATAATTTATAACATCACTTTGTACCCCATAAGTGTATACAATTATAAATTGTCAATTTACAATAAATTCTTTTTAAATGGAAGAAAAAATATTAATGTCATAAAAAAAGCCCAACATGCTTTCTGTTGGATATGTATATTGGCATAAAGTTTCTAAAAGGCAATTTGGCAATATGTATGGGTAGCTTTCAAAATCTTTATACTCTTTGTCCCACAAATCCTGTCTCTAGGGAACTAACCTAAGAAACTATCAGAATTTTAGGTCAAAGAATTACATTGAGAATGATTTTTAATAGAGAAAAAAGTGGAAACAACCATCAGAATGGTTAAATAAATAATGATACTTTTGTAGGGTGGAAATTGTGCAGCCACCCAAATAATATTTATATAAACAATTTTATTGATATTATAAAATACAATTTAATAGTAAGTGAAAAGTAGACTATATAAACCACTTATATGGTATAATCTTAATATGAAAATGTTAACAGTGGGCTGGATGAGATTTATGTGTGATTTTTTTTATCTTTGTTCTTTGTATTCCAAGTACAAACATAAACAACAAGGACCTTCTATTTACTAAAGACTATTCAACTCAAACCAACGATCACTGATTGAGCTCCTTCAAGGGGCAAGCCCCTGTATTAGGCACAATGGAAGGCCCAAACAATAAGGTAGGCATGAAGGCATGGCCTTTTGGAATAAAAAAGGCCCAGATGTAGCCTAGCAGCCAATGGGTATTTGGGCCTTGGCTTCATGATCTGTATGGAGTCTAAACTTTCGGAATGCTTTGAAACTGGAGAAAGGTAGCAGTAGGCATATGCCACCCTGCGAACTTTCCTGGGAACTAGTGTCCCAGGAACTGACCAAGCCTGCTTTGGAGATATGACCCACATAGGCAGGCTAAGTTTGTGAAATTGGCAGATAGCTCATGAGTCACTTTTAGTAACACAGAAAACTTCCTCTGATCTCAAAGACCAGTCAAGTCTGGTTTTTCTTCTATGTCAGCCCTGGAAATAAGAAACAGGATATGAGACTACGGATTTTTTTTTTTTTTTTTCATCAATCTTTAAAGACTCAATGTCAGGCAATTGGTATTAATGAGAGGTTCATTCTTAAGTGGAATGAATGTATACCAAAACAGTGCATACTAGTAAGTGCAGTTAACACCTGTTGAATGAAGAATGAATGAATGAATAGAAAACCAGATTGGAAATATTAGGAGTTCTGAGTTCAATCCTTATCAGCACCGCACTCTCCCGAGTGAGCCACGGGCCGGCCCCCTGAGTTCAATCCTTAGTTGCCACTGACTGTCTTTGTGACTTCAGGTAAACTGTTTACCTGAGCCTCAGTTTCCTCACTCACAGCATGGAATGATCACAATACCTGTCTGACAGTCTCATAGATAACACTAGGACAGATGGTGGATGAGAAAACACTTAAGAATGAGTAAGGATCTACATAAAGATGGGCCTCTACTGCTGCTCAACTGCAAAACGGGGCTAGAACAGCTGCAAGAGTTTGGAGGCCCCTGCAGCTACACATGTTTATTCTGCAGTGGACTTTTCCCAGGAATATGTTATGTATGAGAAGATGTACATTGCTTTGCTAATTACAGACTTAAAACTATTAGCAAGCGAAGGTTTAGTGATGCATATATAGTAAATTATGTTGCAACCCTCTAAAAAAATTATATAAGGCAAATAGAAGTATGATTATGAGTTCTACCCAGAAATGTAGAATTTTAGTTGACTGAAGAAAAAGATGTAATTATAACTATAATATGATTTTATCTATGGAAAAGAACACAGAAAAAATTAAACAATTATATACCCATGTGGTAAGAAAAAAGTAATTTAAAATTATTTTACCCAAGGGCCGGCCCGGTGGCGCACTGGATAGTGCGCCGCTTGGGAGGCGCGGCGGCGCTGCCGCCCGAGGGTTCGGGTCCCACATACAGACCGGCTCCCGCTCACTGGTTGAGCGAGGCGTGGGAGCAGCGCCGAGGTTTGCGATCCTGTTGCCGGTCCCCGGTCCGGTACGGGGGCAACACTGAGGGTTGCGATCCGTTGCTGGACACG